ATGTTTTAGGCCCGAGTAGGGCTAAAACTTAGTTCTAACAGTTAGGTGTATGCAGCACGACCATCAGAGAATTAGGCGTTACCTGTTTGCAGTAGAACCAAGAGTTAACAAAACTTTCCTTATGAAAAAGGTTTTCCAAATTAAATCCCGAAGGATAAAAAGATTTAAAGTTTGTTTTTGTGTTTTTTAAAGAAGAAGTGCATTAATTATTGTTTGTAATTCATGTTGCACTAAAGACTATGACCTAGGAGCGAATACGTCGCATATCGTCCAAAGGACATACACTAAACACTCTAGACAATTGAGAGGAGGCCCCAAATTACCATTTCTCAAGTACTTAAGGCTCGTAACATACAACAATCCTTATCCTTTATTAGATGTTTTGAGAAAGTTTGAAGATGAGAAGAGAAGGACACTCTAAGGGAGACTAAGACTCAACCTAAAGTTATCATACAAATTGCACCTATGATTGGGATAAAAGGGAGTGCTACCTAATGTTATCATGCATGGGTTCAAGCCTAAGGTCTATCAACCTTGAATAAGGAAGATTATAGATCCTAAAGGAACATGGCAAAGAAGAAAGAAGAAGGAGAAGGAAACATGAAATGAGAAAGATGCAAGTATGCAAACATGTAATGCACAATTAGAATGAAAGTGAGGAAGGAAAAAAGTATGGGGGCAGTAGCCTCCACAAGCACATCTCAACCTCAAGCATGCATATGAGAGATGAAAAGAAGAAGGAAGAAAGAATTCATACAAAAGAAATCAAACAAGTGCACACAAGTGGGATGAAATGGGAGAACATGAATCCTACAACTATTTGTCATCAACCACAAGCCCTAAGGCAAGCCAAATGAAAAGAGATGAAGGCAATATTAAATGGGAGAATGGGAGGCAATGTGAGGACAGCAAGGAACTCACATGGGCAACTCAACCATTAGCATCACCAAAGTATGCAAAATACACCAAAAGAAGTCCTCAAAGAACCATCATTCAAGGCATGCTTCAAGTACCTCCAAAGGAGGGACTAAGCCATCTCAAATGGGATTCTAAAGTCATGGGACAAAAGCAAAGATGAGATTAGAAGATGCACAAATCCAAAAGCACACACATCAAAAGAGAATGCAAGCAAAGGCATGGAAGAAGACCTAAGTCATTCAACACATTCAACATTTGAAACTCAAATGGAAAACCTAAAAGGAATGCAAACTTCAACAAGCAATGAACAAATTTATGACTTAAAAATGAACATCCAAACACCTCAATATGTTAACAATATGAATCAACAAGAGTTAGGAGCTCAAGGGATCCATAGAAGTCATTTACCATTCAAACTAGGTCAAGTGTTTGTATGAACCTCCCTTAGTAGTAACTTGACTTGCAAGTTACCTCAAAAATAGGAAAAAGACTCAAAAATAACCAAATAAAATCTCAAATGAACATTAAAATGTTAGAAACCAGTGACCAAAAGATTACAACCGAAGTTATCTCAAATCAACATCAAAGAATTTGATTCACAAGGATGCACCAATTTGAGAGAGGGTTGTCAAGGGTCAACAAAAATGCCATCAAAGTCAAACCAAAATGACTTAAACCAAGGGAAAAATGGTCCTAAAAAATCATTCAACTCATTATTGAAATGAGGAATGATTTTCATTCATTGGAATCAAAAGGATGGATCAAAAACAAAGCAAAAGCAACCAAAAAGTAAGAAATAATCCAATTAAAACACTTCCAAAGAATAAATCCATTTTTAATTGAAAAATAATCCAAAAAATAAAATAAAAATTTCCTAAAAATAAAGGACATCCTAAAATATCCTAAAAATATTTTTGTAGGATTTTATTACTTTTGAAAGTATTTAAATTAAATTAAAATCAAAACAGAATCAAAAATAAAATGAAAAAACAAATAAAAAAAGAGCAGTGCAAATAGCAATTTACACAGGCAAAAGGACTGGGCTGGATCATAAGTGGGGTGCGTATAGAAACTTAAGCCCACCTCTTTCAGCAAACATGAAACGCACCGTTCCATTTATGCGTTGGCAGGTCAATCCAACACCTCATCCAGTCAAACGCATCCAGACCGTAGATCTCGCTCGGTCAAAGTTCAAAACACACACATGGCACACACACGTCAGCCAACCGGAGACTAAACTAGACGGTGGATCTCACTGTTCCGGTCATCTTCTCCAGTGAGAAGGCCAGAACTGGAGATCCAAAATCGCACCAAATTGGACAAAATCCTATACCAAACCGATCCTCATGTTATGTAGAACATGAATCCAAGTTTAGTTTCCATTTATCGAGCACATACAAGCCAAATCGAAGCAAAGAAAAATCAAGCATCAAAATAAAATCATCAAGAACATCAACCTAATTTATCCAGATTTTTCCTACATAAGTAGGGCTTCAGTATGCAACAAAAATGGCGTGAAATAGATGCATATTAGGAGAGAAATTCTGATTTGAAGTTTACCTAACGGAGCCTCTCCGTTGGGGCTTCTAATGGTGCTCAAGCTTGCTCAAACCGTGCAGAAACGATCAATGAACTTCAAGGAAGATAACTATGGCTTTGAATTGCTCTAAATTGGCTTGAATCTCAAATTCACGATTTCACTTTTCTCTTGAAAACTCCAATTGTGTTCAAGCTCTCTCTGCACGAAATTAGCTGAATTAAGCTTCAAAATTGATCTGAAGCTTTTATAGTATGGGCCAGGGAGTGTTTGGAGGCCCAATTGTGGATGATTTGCTTGAATTGAAGAAATGCCCAATTTGAAATTTCAAGCTTCATGCACACGTGAAATGACTCCAATTTCCCTTGTTTTTGATTCAAATCACTTGTTGGGACTTGGAATTGATCATGTGGACGTGAATTGCTCCTTGAATTGATCCAATGGTTGATTTTGAATGTGAAACTTATGCTTGAAGTTACTTGAAATTACACATATTTTGCACATCATGAGTCCAATTTTCTTGGTGCATCTTGCTTGTCATGATAAAGTGACTCAAAATATGCACAAACATGTTATGAAAATGATTTAAAACCACTTCAATTAAATTCATGCCTTTTAAGTTCATTTTCCTTGATTTTTCTTCACCAATCTTCATATCCATACCAAGTCCATGGCCATTTGATGTTCAATGATAGAATTGAGATCATTTGAAACAAGTTTCATGTTGGAGAAAGTCTCATTTAAAGTGCACAAATGGATGAAAATGACCTATAATGGAAATGACCTATAATCTCACTTTCCCAAAATACCCCTGCCTTGCAAGCTTCATAACTTAAGTTCTACACATGAGATGGAGGACTTCTAGGACTTTTTGGAAAGTTAAGATCATGAGGAACAACTTTCATGTTCATTGAGGAGAAACATGATTCTAAGTCAAAAGTGCCTTGGAAGTTGATTGACTTTTGTTGTCTGAAAATACATTCATCTGAGGACTCATAACTTTTCAGCATCATAACATGAGTTCCAGAAACCCAATGATGAGTTCTAGTACTCAAAAGAAAGCTAAGAACATGCTCTACAAGTCTCATGTTTATGTCAAAGTAAGATGAAACTTGCATCTTGAGATATGTGGTCTTGAAGTTGGGCACTAAATAGGGGATTTTACACTGACAAACCTCTGAAACCCTAATTTAGTAACTTCTCACACTTTTGATTCTTCTTGAATTAATCTTGAAATAACATCTTAAATGTCTCAACACAACTATCCATGACTCCAAAGACTTAGAATTGAGTCTTAATCTCCTTCAATTCCTCAGTAGATTTTGCACTAGGCAGATGAAACCCTAGGTGTACAATCCTCTGACTGCAACCTCTTGCACATGATGTACCAGCTTGGATAAGCTCAACAATGGCCTCAAAGCACTCAATGAGCTTCCACAACATCTCATATCCATGATAATGAACTTATGATCCTGTGATGATCTTCACTTGGCCTCCCAGCTAGGAGCTAACCCACACACATCCATCTCCTCTCTCAAAGAGCTTTGACCTTCTCTTGATAACTATAAGCACTTAACCACTTGAATAAAACCTCTTGCTTAGGCTTGGACCCTTGGTAACCTTCCCTTGCTATGCACACCTCTTGATCTCCTGCAAATGAACAATGATATGCAAATGTAAATGCTAGAACAATGCAGTAAAAACAAAAGCCAAATAAAAAAAAGGTTGAGCAAATTTTAGGGTACAACACACATAATATAATGTAACATACATGATAAAATATATGGCTTTTTTTTAATAGACTAATTATTAAAATTTTACCGCTTAAAAGATGAATAAATAAAATATTATGGATTTAAATGTATGTCTCTAATTGAAATTTTTTACAATTATCAATTAAGTTGGATTCATAAGATGAAATATTTATCACTATTTTTATTGGTGTCTTGCAATTATCAATTAATCTGGATTCATGAGATGAATCATTTATCACTATTTTTATTGGTGTTTGGTCCTTAAGTATAAACATTCACATTTTAAAGACAATATGGACCACATCAATTATGAATGTACCCTACCAAAATCATATTCTGAATTCCAATTGATTGAGATATAGGCCAAGAAGACATGAAACATAGAAGATCATCATCAACCTCACAATCCTAAAAAAATTCCATCCAAGTAATCGACCATCCCCCTCCACTCTCTTTCATTTTCTCTTTATTTTTGCAAGTTGAAACCAAAAGCCAACTAGCCAAGCCACACATCAAACATGACACGTACCATTGTCACATACCATACAAAATAAACTTTCGCAGTCTTGTCTTGTGGGGTGACGTGTCATCTAATCTCCCACTCATTTTCCTTAAGACTATGCTTTAATATTTACTCTCCTTCACACACAGAATCACACAAAACCACTCTTCAATTCTAGTTTCCACAGAAAAGTTTCAGATTCTCAAACAATATACACAGCACACAGAAAAACTTCATCAACTAGCAATTATATATTTATATTTATATATTTATATATACTCTCTTCAATATGGTTCTATTTTGCATGAAAGAGAACAACACAAACACCATGACTCAACAATCCTCTACTAAACCACATGACCAAATGGATCTTGAATTCAAGAAACCTCATCAACTCAAAGACAACAGTCTTAAGGAGCACACAAACTTGGATGTAACAAAAGGGACATTAGTTGTTGAGGAAGAGGAGGAAAGTGGAAGAGAGAAGTTGAAGAGGCATAGAGTTGAAATGGCTGGAAGAGTGTGGATTCCAGATATATGGGGACAAGAGGAGTTTTTGAAGGATTGGATAGATTGTACAACGTTTGATCCTCCTTTGATTTCTTCTGCCAAAATTGTGACAGCAAGAACAGCTTTGGTTCAAGAAGCTACTGCTACAGCTAGGTGTTGAGTTTTAGTATTTCTATGATTTTTTTTGTTGTTGTTGATTAGTTACTACTATATATTGATTGTGGAAGGTTTATGCATCCTAATCTTTGTATAATCATTTTTTGGCTTTGTTTTTGTTTTATTTTGCATATATATTATATATTTCATGTATGAATTTAGACTTTGGAGGCTATTGATGCATCACAGAAAATATTTTGTAATGTTAAGATTTTTTAAGTAATTTTGATTTAACTATTTGAATACAAGATCTATATATGCGCTGATGTTTGATTAAATTAAAACAGCACACTTTAATTAGAGAATAGTTAAAATTAAAAGAACAATAGCAAAATCAACATGATATTTGGGAGAGTTTAGAGCATGTCTTTTCTTCCAAAAAAAAAAATATGGAGTACAATTTGAGATGTAGTAAAACTCTGATAAAAATAAAATTTGGTGTTTCTCGAAATATCTTGAGGCATACTAGGGTTCGGGCAAGTTGGCGATAAGAAAAAACAATGCACAAATTGCGTTTGAGTTTGTAGTAGAGGATGAACCTAAACAAGTATTAATTAAATTAAATATTAATTATGTTGTGATATAAATGTGAGTAAGAGGTCTCACACTTGAAATATTGGAGGTTGAGAATTTTACAAGAGATCTCATATGTCTAATATTTAAATGTTTTGGGTGAATATGTGATGATTCTATCACTTATGTGTTGTTTTTGATTCAATGTGAATGTTCGTCCTCATTACTATTTATGGTATTAGAACTGATGGTTCAAATAAAAGACTGTTTTCTTGTATCGAAAGTCTTCTTGATATAGTGATGGTCATTGACATGTCTCGTTGAAGTGCTCGTGACATTGTAAGAGTGTCAACGTTGATACAAGTAAATGTGGATGAAAGAGCTTTCACTTAAGGAGGCGCACAATAGATCTATATATCTAATGCCTAAAGGTTTTTAGTAAATATATAGTGTCTCTCACTAGTGTTTTCTCTCGATTCAATGTTGATATTCATCCTAATGATCCATCAAATTACTATGTTACTATGTAAGATTGTCTTAGCATTGACTATTTAGTTGAATGTGGTTTTAATGCATACAAATGTGACAATGCAAATGCAATACAATATAGTATGAAAGAATTAATGTTGTGAGCTTGAAGAAATATCACTCGATGCCAATACTTGGATTTATATAAGGGGTCTATCACTTGTATGTTGTTCTTGATCCAATATGAGTGTTTATCTTCATGATCTATAAAATTACTATGTGACATGCTTTTAACATTGACTTATGTTAAACAAGATTTTTATGCATACAAATGTTATGATATCATATGCAATACAATAGAGTATGTGTGAAGTAATCACTACTACAAAAAGGGGATTTCGCTACGGTTGGAAAATGAATATCATTATTATTGATGAACATGATAATGTAGGATGTGGTAGTAAGCATGTTACTTTTTATCACGGGCGCGTGTGATCTTAGTGATAAACTAGGTAGCACACCATATTTTACCATCTTAATCAACCATGGTGAAATGTTAAATGTCATGGATTCGATTCTCACTCATACCATGGTATATAATATTTGACGTTTCACTTTTCACTACCGTTGACTGTTGCAACTGTGCTGAAATACTTTGTTTTTTTAAAATAATTTTTTCAATATTTCATATATGCCCATTTTTTATTACTACTTGTATACTAAATTTTCTACCACAACGGAATATGAACAAATGCACTTTTTTAAAACCAAAATATGACTTATATGGCCTATATGTATATATTATATGTAAGCACCAAAATATGGCTTCAATATAGTACCAAATGTTAAACTAACTTTATTATTTACATCAAACCCAAAAATATTACAAACATATATTACAAAATCAATGTGATCAGTCTAGCCTATAAATCGCATTGAAACATGATGTTCAACGTGTATGAACGTCTTTAAAGTCTTCTTGTGAGAATAATGTAGTGTGACTAAACATTTATATAAAAAATTGAAGGAAATGAAACATCATATGCTTTGAAATAATAAAAAAAATTAATGCATGTGATATAAATCATTAATAGGCTGTTGTAAATTTATATACCTACACTACAAAAAAAACTTAAATTTGCTAGGTGCTAATCACCTCGCAACAGTCAAAATCACCTCGCAGCGTCTGAAATGAATGAGTTTCATCCACCTCGTTAAAATGTTAGCCGCAACTTTTCTACCGATGGATAATCACCTCACAAAGTTGCTAGCGAAAAATCACCTCACATAGTTGCTAGGTGAAAATCACCTCGCAAGCTTGCTAAGGGAATATCACGTCGCAACTCACTTTTACAAGTAGGCCGACATAATGTGCAGAGCAGGTGTGCAGTAGACAAAGCAGGTGACAACATTTTACTATGTGCAGTTCACCTCGCAAATCATGCATTTTCTAGGTAAAATTCACTTGGCAACTATTAAACGTGTCTAATAAAAAGTATTCTTATATATTTATATTATACAAATTTGATTATAATAAATTTGTAATAACATAATATAATATTTTTTATCAAATAATATTTAAATTCTAAATTAATTAAAATGAAATTCAAAAATAATTAAAAATATCATAAAATTTTGTTTGTATGATTTAGTCAGGTGAAAATTACCTCGCAAATCATGCATTTGTCAAGTGTAAATCACCTAGCAATAATTTATATTCATAGTTATAAAATTCTAAAATTAATATTCATTAATCCTCATCTTCTTCACCATCTTCTTCTTCTTTCTCCTCATTTTCATTTACCGCTTCACCATATTCTTCTTCTTCCTCATTCTCGTTAATTGCTTGGCCCATTAAAAGTCATGTTTAGTTTGGAGCTTAGGCTATTAAAAACTTTGTATGGTTTGGAGCATTGTTAAAACACTATTTGGTTTGGAGATTATCCGTGTAAAATCTCTTGTTTATTTTAAGAAGGTTTGTGGGCATATCAATTAAAAATTTAAATACATGTTTTAATTGAACTCTCAAGAGGAAACTCTTGGGGACGTGAGCAGGTAAGTGGTATGTCAAACCTGTATAATTCTCTAGTGCAATCTCTCTAACTATATCTCCTTATTTTTATGTGATTTATTTTCTTTCTTCTATAATTCTTTCTTCTCTCTTTTTCGCCGATTTATCTCTATTGGACTAACATAGACCAATTTCTAAATAAAAGATTTTAAAATATTTTGTGTTTGTGAATATCACAATTCATCCTTCATATCTCTCTTGTGTTTGGAGTCATGTGGTCAACATCACTTACTCCAAACTTTTGCATTGATTGCTTGCAATGATGCTGAGCCACATAAGGGACATTTTACCATATGAATAAAGAGTGTTAAGCCACCTCAGGGCTAAGTTCGGGCATTTCTTTTGCTGACCAAGTGAATTTATTATGGATTTTTTACAGGCATATCATGAGTTTATCTTGTAAAATTTAAGTAACCTTACCCTAATACTGATGACATTAGAAAGATCATATTTGACAAGGATTTAGATGAAATATTTGATGAACTCCACCCTTTCTAAATTCCTTATTGCTTGAAAAGGTATGGTTTCTTCATCTCCTTCACCCTTTCCAAAAGATTTCTTTTCTAATCGAGCATATAGGTCTACCAATTCTTTGGCGTTTGCTTGGAAAATGTGACCTTTTCTAATCATTGTTCTTCATTATCTAGGCTAGAAAAAACATGCAGGTCATGGTCAAATTTGATTCAAGCATAAAATGATAGGATATGAAATTTCACTTTCAAGTGTATTGTTGATGATGCTTCACACTTAGCCGCTAACGAGGATCTTCCCATGACGCATTTGTAAATAAATGTGTACAAAATCACTATGTATCTTACTTTGATGATTCTTTTTTCTTTTTCATTCCTAAATGTCATAAGAGTTTCGCATATCTCTAAGGTTTCATGTTGGTACCATCAGAGCCTTGAAGGTTTCCTCCATGATAGGGTTGCAAGATTGTTTCTTTTCCTAACTTAATGCACATTCCCATGTACATAATGACACATTAGCTCCCATGGTCCATATATACGTCTCAAATGTCATGGTTTTCCGTCATTGCTATGGTCAAATGGTACATAGTTGTTTAATACAGTATTAACTAATTCGTCATCATAAAATGACAAGGGGTCTCTCTTCTACTAGTGAACCCTTATGATGTACCATCTCATATGGATATTCCATGTGCTTCTCCTCTAGGGAAAAATAGTCCGCCTTATAATGATGGGAGAATTTACGAGTATATCTTCTGAAATGATACATAGTTTCCTATCAACACAAGTTATAATGAAGTTATCGTTCCACAACTTGAAAATACCTTCAGAGTGTGTCTATGGAAAAAAGGTATAATCATTATTCTTTTCATTTCCTCCATAATCTTGGAGTGGTTCCTTTTTCTGCAGTCTCATCATACTTGTATTATAAGGGTCTTTCAGGGGGGGTTATATGGAGGGTTTTCTTCACCAGAATGCATTATTTGGGTTTGAGAGAAAAAGGGAACACCATTGAACACTCCCACCGACGAAGGTGATGATCTTGCAAAGACATAAGATACTCATAAATAGGATAATGTGTTTGGATTTGATGGTGAACTCTAGCTTATGATTATTATTATGACATTTTGGTCCGACATCATGGATGGGGTACCTCTAAACACTATGACGTCCGAGTCAGGGACTATCAGAGGTGAGAGGTATTTTTGGGTTAAAAATGTGTGTACTTGAGAAAAAGGTCTCCATTTTCCTTTTATAATTGTCATATAGGATTTAAGGTCTCTATAGCATTCCCTCTTAAGACACCTGTCCAAGTAGGTTTATGTTAGTTAATCCTTTCTCCAAGTTCGAAAGCTTCTAGTGTTTGGAATTACATTTTAGGCCTTTTTTATTTGTCCTAACAACCTCATTGGGTCATCGATTTGGTTCGCCTGCCCAACCGAAAACATATACCAAATTAGTACATCCACATCACTAATTCAC